CCTAATTCTCTTATGCACTTTGACGGATCCCAGTTTTCTAGGCTTTGCGAAAAGCAGAGAAAGAGGAAGAGAAAAGGGCAAGGGAGAAAATCCGCCAGAAGCTTCGCAAGATAAGGTTTTGCTGAATAATTTCCACTTATATGTTTCTTCATATCTCTAGAAACCACAATGGGGCTGGGTCGGTTCATTCAAATGTATGTTAGTTATACTATTGAAATTAACATGCAAACTATTCTGAGCAGCTATAGTTAAAAAAGGTGCTGGCTACCTGTTTCAAACTATTTCCCAGTCGCTGGAAAGCTCTTAGAACCATTTTTTACTAACATAGAACTACCAATCATTATTATTCTATTTATATTTTTAGTTTTTTTTTTTTTTGTGAATTTGATTAGAGTCTTCAGATGCGGGATTCCATTTGACATTTATGCTCCCAATTTAAAATTTCTTTTAGAAGTTAGATGCTCCACAAATGAATGTTGTTGTAGGCAGAAAGAAAGTCGAAACTTGGATTGTCTTTGGAAGACCCTGCATATGCAACATCTGCCACACCTCTGATGCAAGAATTAAAAAAGGTGTGGTAAATTCGAAACATGTCTATCAATTCTATATTCTCAGCACTGTAGTTGTACTTATTTACTGAAGTTTTTGCTTACAATATATTGCAGGTGTCGTTGCCTGTCGAGCCTGCTGCATTGCCTGTCAAGCCTGCTTCATTGCCTATCAAGCCTGATTTATTGCCTGTCAAGCCTGCTACAACAGTAGAACTCATGAGAGACTGTTTGAGATCTCTCAGGCACCAACACAAGGTAGGTGACATTACATATTCTGCCCGTAAACATAGTCTCTAATACTGAAAATGCGACAAGTGCAATGTCTGGAAGCCATTTTTTATGAATTTCCAAAGATGCATGGTGATTGACATTTTTCCAATGAATTTTGTGCTTTGGACATATTGTAGTTGAGCTATGTAGTATCTGCACTTGGCAGCAGTGGGATTAGGTGCAGCAATGTTGATAAAGAAACCCACTACCTAATTTAGTCCCAATTAATTGAGGGTGCTGGGATGGACAGACCAGATACAAACAAACCATTGGCTTTATTTGCATAAAATGGCTGCCTTTATATTTGAGCCCATAACCTTGTGGTTGTTAGCATGAGTCAATGGCCTCTTGATATTTTATTTATTTGAAAACATAATATTGAAAAGCCAATGTATGAGGGGACCGGATGAGGGGAAATTTATTTGTCAGAGGGCGAGATTTTTGTACATAAAATTCGTGCATGGGTATGTGGATGAAAAAATGCCTTATGATCTGTGTGCCACGCTCTGGTATTAGCGTTGTTTACCTAATGTACCACTTCCTTTGACCTTATCATTTCCTTTTTCTTTCGGTCTAGGATGATGATGCCAAAGTGAAAAGGGCCTTCCAAACTCTTCTAATTTATGTCAGAAATATTGCAAACAATCCTGATGAAGGAAAATTCAGGAAGATCCGACTCAGTAATCCAGCCTTCCTGGTAAGGCCCTTGTTTTATTTAAAATGTTGAAAGTATGAAAAATAAGTAGTTTCCTTTTCTGACAGAAGCATGCAGAAACCATTCCTTTTGATTCCTTGTCAAGGTACAAAAAAATGTGCACTTGATGGGAACTTATAGGATAGGGGGTTTATCAGTATATCTACCCAATTTAGCCAATCTGTCTATTCGATAATGTCAACCTAAATTTCCATCATCTGGGCCATGGGATGTCACACTTAGATGTAAATCTTCAGTTGATCATTAAGTTGATCCAATTGAGCACCTCTACACTCTTCTACTCTTAAGTTCATGCCTTTGAATTGTAAGATTTCTTTTCGAAGCATGATTTGAACATCTGGATGGTTGGCATTGGGATAATGCAATTTTTCTGGAGAGGGTGATATCTATCAGTTGTGCCTTGCCTCACAAGCTTCCTAGAACATGCTTCTTGATAGATAAGGGCACCATGGGCACCAAGTTGGAACTGAATTTATTTGATAACAAAGAAAGTTCATATAAGAGGATCACGTGCTATGGCCATTGATTCTCTGCTTTGCCTATTTTATACTTTACATGATTCATATTTAAAAAACTTTTTTTTGATAGGAAACACAATTTTATTGAAAAATAAAGGATGTAATACAAAATAACTGATATAAAAAATGCGACGATCTGTGTTTTGGGTGAGGAATAGCTAAGGCGAGGGTGTGCTTTCAGGACTTTTTCCATCAAATCGGTCTACTCTGCCTTATTTACCAAGTTGATTGCATACAATTTTCCTTTCAGTCTAGCAGAATAACACAGAAGTAGATACAGATCATGAATATTTTCCTTTTCGACTTGTAACAAGGTCATTATTGTGTTCTAAATAACAGGATAGAGTTGGGATTTTCAAAGAAGGTATCGAATTTCTTGAGCTCTGTGGGTTTGAGAGAGTTGGAGGTGGCAATTTTTTGTGTATTCCCCCAGAGAAGACTGACATGGCAGTACTTCGATCAGCTGGCCAAGTGTTGAATTCTGCTTTAACGAATCCCTTTTTTGGACTACTGTCAAGGTGAGAGAATCTGAGTGTTTTTATAAGCTCAGTGACTCAGGTTTGAGTGTCATGAGAAACTTTGAATGCAGATGAACAAAAGAACAATAGAAAACATGTTTCCTACTAGAAATTATCATGTTGTCTCTCTTGGGTTGGGGGCTTTTAATTCTTATGATTTGTAATTACACAATGGCCTGAAATGATTGTAGATTATCACGATTACAGTCTTATTTCATCTCTTCTGAGAAGTCTCTTACTTCTTAATTTGTGAAACGGAAATGTTTCTGGCCTAGCAAAAGAAAAATTGGGATAGGATCTTATAGGAGTCCCCCCACCCTCTCCCTCTTCCCCTTTCAAAATTGGACGGGAAAGTTTCTTTTCATCCGGCTCAAGTAGGCACGTCAGATAAAGAAAGTAACTTTCAAGTTTAAATAAATGTAGTATTACCCTACGTCTGACCAGACAGAAGGGAAGCTAGGAAATTATTTAATAAAAGAATTATGGGTTATTGTGATAGCTAAGCTCCCTTATTCACCTGACCTCTCTGTACTATACTATATTTTACATACATATTGGGCCAGTCTCTCCAACCTTCGTTGCACTTTCTTCACAAGGAAACTGTCCTTTATGTGTGGTAACTCCTTAACGGTTCCTTGTGCAAAGCTAGGAATTAGCACATTTCCGGCAATCTGACCCAGGCTTGTGGCACCATTCTTTTCCTAACATAAACGATGAAAACCCTTTGATGCTGAATGGTTACTGCAATGCTCCTTGACTTCCATTTTTTGCCGATGCAATTCCAAAAATGGTGGAATTTTTCAGTTTCTCCTCCCTGGCGGCCTTCTTTAAACTTGGAAATTCGCTGGGGGAACATATGGATCAGTTTGGTCTGACCACATTTAGTTTTATTCTGTGTGGTTTCCTTTTGAGTACTTACGGTGAAGGTGATTGATAAAGAAAATGCGGTTGTCGGATCAGGGTTTGGTATGACTACCAGCTTCTCGCCTCACTTTGCCTTGAGTGAGTGGCAAGAGCGGCCATTTGAGACTCAAAATCACACACCGCTGCACCAAATCCATGATGCAATGGTGTTATTAAGCTTCCACATTGCTGCTGTGTTGTTGACTGTCATCACTTGGCTACCAATTGGGTGATATGCGTATTCTTGTAATGTGGGTGGGAGGTGTCTGAAAAAATGCCTGAACGACAAACAAAATGGGGGCAAGTCTTCTATCTCTATTTGTCCTCCGTTCTTGTCAAGTAAGAATGCTACAAATTGCTTAAACTCAAGCTTCTCAGGTAACATGATCGCTTTCTCAACTTATTTTCTCTTCTCCATTATATTTAGCTGTCTTGACAACAATTGCAGGAGAATCCCTAGTGTTGATTGGAGTGTATGTGGTTCAGTATTGTTAATGAATTGGTTTTTGGTTACGAATAGTTTAATTTATTCCAAGGAGACTGAAACGCGACCGGAAATTCAACAAACAATTAACTTGGTAGTATAGCTTTCGAACGGATGACACAGCGGGATACAAAATGCTTAATTTAGATCTGGACCAGTATTGAGGATTAGACTAATGCATTCAATAAACTATTAGGATCATGAGGTAACAATCTAAAATCTATGGGTAGGACTGTTAATCAAACTGAGCTACTCGAGCTTGACTTGAATTCGGTTCGTTCAGGTTCGGTTCGTTTTTTAAACGATGCCGAAATTGAACAAGTTTTTAGGTTCATTTAGAAAACAGACTATACAAGTTCAGCTCAAACTTGACAAACTCGACTCGTTTATGTGCAAATACTCGGGCTCGACTTGTTTAGGCTCGGCTTGTTTCCTAAATGAGCGAATTTAAATAATTTTTAAAGCTCAATTAAAAAATAAATTTTTCAAACTCGGTTCGAACTCGACTCTGTCTCGTACGACTAACAGCCCTATCTATGGGATGGGATGATTCTAAACCGATTAGTGTATAGGGTTGAACTTTGGCTTCCCAAATTCAAGTTTTGGTTTATTAAAATTGCGTATGGTCCCATCAGACCACCTGGCTAGGCCGAATGGAATGTTCGCGTGAGAAATTTTCAGCCGCGGGGAGTGAAATACTCGCTTTTTGTGCATATATGTTGATATGTCTTTTATTCCTTTTTTTGGTTTTTTTTTTATTTGGACACTAATCGAAGACATGAGCTTTTATGGTAGACAAGTTTGTCTTTAATTTGAATTATGTTGGTTTCATTATTTTAATGGAGTTTTAGTCTGACATCGATTTTGTGGTTTAAACTCCAAGAGTCTTTTAGGTGGAATTTGGGTTTTAGCATTTTTTCTCTTTCAGGGGTGACGACATCAAAAACTATTTTTCGAGAAGAAATTTTGGATTTTGCTTTATTTTGTTTTGGGTCTTTTTTGAAGACACTAACTTTATTGGGAAGAAGATTTTTGACACTATTAATTTTATAATAGTGATAGAATAAATATGTTCTCTTATTTCTTTGTTTATTGAGGACGGTCTTGTAATTTCTAATCTTTAAATAGTAAAATCTTATTGTTGTATTTCGTTTGCTGACGTAGGCTTGTTTATTGAGTCGAACCACACAAATCTCTATGTTCTATTTTTCTATTATGTTTCATTGTTATTTTGCTAGTGACTTTGGTTCATAACAAACTTGTACCAAAGCTTTAGTGTCGAAATGACTATAACAAAATTCGAGATAGAAAAAATTGATAGTTAGAATAATTTTAATTTTTTATCAGATTAAGATGAAGACATTGCTTCGTCAATAAGGTTTGACAAAGGCCATTAATGGATCTTTATCCAAGGAGACAGATAAGACTAAAATTGTTGAAATTGAAGAAAAAGCACACAGTGCAATTCCATTATCTATTACTAATGAAGTTCTTCGTGAGGTTGTTGATAACGACAAAGTTGAAGGACTCTGAAAAGAGTTGAAGAGTTTGTCTATGAAGAAGTCTCTTATCAATCGTTTGTATTTAAAGCAACGATTATATATACTCAAGACGAAGGAAGGTAAACCCATTAATGAACATATTGATGAATTTAACAAATTTATTATTGACTTGAAAAATATTGGTATTAAAATAAGGGATGAAGATCAAGCTCTGATTGTGTTATGCTCGCTGCCTGATTCGTTTGATAATTTTGTTAATTCGATGTTGTATGTGAGAGATTCAATCTCTCTAGTTGATGTGAAATCCTCTTTGAATTCTAAAAATTTGCATATTAAATTAAATAGTAAAGGCAGTGATGTTCAGGCCAAGAGTCTGTTTGTGAATGGTTATCTTGATAGTTCCTCTAATAATAATAGAGGTCGATCTGTTGAAAGAAATTCAGATAAAAGAAAAAAAAAATTTAAATATCGATTATAGTCTAGGAGGAAATAGAATAATGTTGGGTGTTTCTATTGTCATAAAATTAGTCATTATAAATATGATTGTCTTAAGTTGAAAAATAAAGGGAGATAGAAAAAAAAATCAAATCATTCTGATTCCTCTGGTGTTACAAAAGATACATCTTATGGTTTAGATAACATCCTTACAGTTGTTGCTTGTAATGGACGTTTTAATGATGAGTGGATTCTTGATTCGAATCGTTCATATCATATGCCCTAATAAAAATTGATTTATCACCTATGAGTCAATCAATGGTGGTTTGTGAGGACTTTGACAGATGTACGACATATTTCAGAATTAAAGAATAATTTGATTTCTTCGGGTACTTTAGATTCTATTGGTTGTAGGTTTTCTGTTGAAGGTGTACTTACGGAAGTTTATAGGGGTTCTCTGATTGTGATGAAAAGTAAAAAATTAATGATCTCTATGTTTTTCAGAGTGATATTGTGATTAGTGCAACTAGTGTGTCATCATAAAAAATTTCAGATTTAAATACTATCCAGTTATGACATATGCATTTGGGCCACATGGGCAAGAGGGGCATGGAAGTTCTGTGTAACAGGGTTTGTTTGACAAATAGAAAATTTATAAACTTGATTTTTGTGAGCATTGTGTCTTTGAGAGACAATGCAAAGTCAAGTTTAGTATAACTATTCATAGGATTAAATGTATAGTTGATTGTATTCATTCCGATCTTTGGGGTCCTTTTCATGTTCCATATAAGGGTGGCGCTCGATTTATTTCAGCCTTTATTGATGATTATTCAAGAAAAATTTGAGTTTATTTTCTGACACGCAAGGGTAATGTTTTTGGGACTTTCAAGCAATGAAAGACTTTGATTGAGAAATAGACAAACAAGAAAGTCAAACGTCTTAGAACAGATAATGGTTTGAAATTTTGTGGAGGTGAATTTAATGAGTTCTGTAGAGATGAAGGCATTGTCAGACAATGTACTGTTCGGTCTACAGAGAGTATGAACATGACTCTTTTGGAGAGAGCACTCGAATGAGGAATGTGAAAAATTGATCAGATGTTTAGCCTTGATGTCTTCACTTGGCCTTACGAGGGCAAGAAGACTTTCGAGGATAATTGCAACACACTCTCCCACTCAAAGAAGGGTCCAAGCCATATCAATGAAAATAAAGGCATCTTCATCTAGATATCTAGGATGCAATCTAATGCAGGGTTGTTTAAGGATTTTTAGGTTGAGGCTGTTAGCATTGATTGCTATTTGGTTAATCATTTTTCATCCACTGTTATTGAGTTAAAGACTCCACATAAGGTATGGTCTGATACTCCTGCTAATTATTCTAATTTAAAAATATTTGGTTACGCTGCTTATTGTTATAGGAATGATGGTAAATGCACAGGAGAATTCCTGTAATGAATACAGATAGTGATGCTCTCGATGACGAACTTGAAACAACTACAAGGTCAAAAAAGGGGCTGGGTGAACACCCTGCTTATACCCTCCGAAACTTAAGTCAGTATAAGTTTAGAGGCTTTAGCACAATATTTTTCTTGTCTCAGTTTAGTTTTTGTACCTTTGTTCATTTTTCTGAGAAATATTTATATCTGGATTAGTAATGAGTGCAAGAGTTGAGAGTCTCATCCCAACATTTAATGACTTACACTCTTATCCATGCGTAATGAGTGTTCTCTACTCAAATTCTTTAGACTGGTTCTCCTAGGGTGATAGACTGACTGCTTGGAAAATGCTGAGCACTTATGACCCTAACCCCGGTCATTCAAGTCCCTGGCGTATAATCTAAACTTTCGTTGTCGCACAAGTCTATGTAGGTTATGACTTGGGCAATGTACATGGACTCCTGCAAACTTCTAGATCTTTCTCTCTGCAGGAGATGTCTGACTTTTATTCCATTTTCAAAGGGGGAGAATTAGAAACACACGTGCATAGAATATTTGTAGGCTGGGGCAACTGGTTTGCAAGCCTCGATTGTGAATCAACATACAGTGAATCATATCAAATCCTTACCGCCATGGATTTTAGTGTTTAGGAGGAAAAAAAAATGTGAAACTACATACTTTTTTAAAAGACTTTTGTCATTGTAAATTACTGGTGAGTGATTTATGTGATGTACGAGATTTTTACCTCTATCATAATTTATCTTATACCGTCTTTTATCGATCATTGTTACAGTTGAAAATATTATCTCGTTCGTTGATTGTTAACAGTATTTTCTATCATTATTGTTTGAATTAGAATATCCTACGATCGATACTAAAGATGGGAGATGGGAGATGGGAGTCTTAGTTAATTAAATTTTTAGTAGTAGTTATATAAAACTACCCATCAATTGACTAATGTCCTCTTTCCTTTAACCTCATTGCATATGATATTGTCACTCACTTTCTACAAGTATGACGTATAAATTACTCTTTATAAAAAGTATATTCCCTTTCAAGAACAAAATCTTTTTAACCACTCTTGACCAACCTAATAAACAAAATCATCATTTACTGTAATCCACTCTTTCAAGATTTCAACGTTACACACCTATCACACACATTTAAAATTCAAACTCAATTTTTTTGTTTTTTTTTTAAGGGGGGGGGGGGGGGGGGGGGGGGTGTTAGATTAAAACTTGAACTTATATGTGCAAAAATTTTCAACAAAATTGGCTCATAACCTAATTTTGAGAAGACTCGACCTCAGATTTTGGGGTCAAATTATATGATTAATCTAATTCATACCAAATTTTTTTAAAAATTAATAATCGATTAAATCTTTTAAGGAAAATAAGGGTAAAACGGAAATTTAGATTTTAAATCACAATTTTATTTTGCAAAATAAAAAGTTGATTAGTCATGAAAAAATTTAAGCATGAAAAAATTATTTTTTTTATCATTTTTTATGTCATGCTAATCAAATAGATTAATTTTTTTTTTAAATTCTTGTATTTTCTAAACAAAATCTTAAGTATATATTTTAGAGATGAAGCTACAATTTAACTTTAAAAAATAATAATTTTTGGTATTGTACTAATTTTTTTTTTGATAACATAGATTTACCTATATTCAATGTCTGTTGTGGAATTCAATGTCTTCTTTTCCCCGAAATCCCTCAGTCGTCTCTTCCAAAAGATTTAAAAAAGTTAGTGGGCATAAGACGAATAACAAAGTCTCCGTCGGAGAAGAAAAGTGTGAAAGTGTGGTATATGAAAAGTTTTTTTTTTTCGTGTTCGGTAGGAAAAACGCAAAAAATCTTATGTTTCTTTTCCCTTTGTTTGGAGTCATTGTTTTTAGGGTTAATTCCAAATTGCTCCTTCATGTTTAGGTCATGTACCAATCAACTCCTTCTAATTTTAATTTAAACAATTTGTCCCTTGATGTTTCCAAATGATTAAATTAATTGATTTAGCGGATAGAAAATATAAAATTTCTAATATACCCTTAACTTTAATGTTATTTCTTTCTTTTTTATGTACCCACATACACGTAAAAATGTTTGTTTACCAATAAAATATAAATTTTGTATTTTGTTGTAGTTACCGGAAAAGATTTAGTTGGGTGTTGTTGTGGTGCGTGAGTGGGTTTCACAAGAGGAAGGAGGAACTTTAGAGGGCTATTGTCGATGGTTCAACGGAGGAAGGATGGTTGGGTTAAGTTTCGGGGAAGAAGAGATTCATTGTTTGGTTGTCTATGGAGTAGGAATTTTTTTGAGTTAACAAAAAATTAAAGAGGAGGTTAATTTTGTATTTTTAGGAAATTTCAGATCATGTGAAATTATTATGACTAATATCCATTACATTTGAAGATGCCCAGCTAGGAAGAAGTTGATTGAAAAATATTTCAACTTTAAGAGGTAACTTGTTTAAAACGAAACACAAGGAGTTGACGATACATGACACAAATTTGAAGGAAATAATTTATAATTAAACCCCTTTTTTGGCAAATGGCATTTTATACCTCTAAAGATTAAAAAAATTTAATTTATATTATCAAAGATTAATTATTTCAATTTGTACTCCCAATTAAATTAATTGGTAATAATGTGACCTCAATTATAACTCCGTTATAATTTTCATCAAATTGACAGTCATATCGTGAAAATGAAAAGAGTCATAATCTAATAAAAATCATCACGTACATTTCATGTTGTTGTCAATTTAAAGAAATTGCAATCTCAAACATAACGTCTATGTCAATTTTTATTGGATTGACAGGCACGTAAGGCGCACATGAAAAGGGGAAGCGTCATTATCAGACAAAAGTCATCAGTGCATCTAATATGATTGACAATTTGATGAAAATCACAACGAATGTTATGGTTAGGGTCACATTGATACTAATTAGTTTAATTAAGAGTGTAATTTGAAATAAATGATCTTTAAGGGTGTAAATTAAAAAAAAAATTAATCTTTCAGGGTACAAACTGCTATTTAACCTTTTTTTTCTTTTTTTTTTCTTTTTTATGGTAATCAATTTGCGTGGCCAATAAACTAATTGGGTCAAAAGTGATGGCTGACCAGTAAAACTTGGGTACTACTGAAAATGGTCTCATGTAAGGCAATGGTCATCCTCGGGATTTGATTCAGGTAGCAGAAACCAAAAATTCACTCCAGAAAACTTTGAAGCTTTTCAAAAGTTCCAACAATGAGTGATAGAGAAATCCTTACTAACACAACTTTTCTTGTCATTTTGGTATGTTTGTTCATGGGTTGCCCTAATAGTTCTGCACAAAGAGACACAATCCAAGCAGGGGAAGCCCTTAATTTTTCATCCCAGTTGGTTTCTGCAAATGGGATGTTTACATTAGGGTTCTTCTCCCTCGGTGATTTTGATCGTTATTTGGGCATATGGTACACAAACGCTTCTATAGCCTACAGAGTTTGGGTTGCTAACCGTGAAAGTCCTATACTCGGTGGAAACGGAAATCTAACCTTGGACACAAATGGGACGTTGAAGATCTTGGTGGTGGGTGGAAATCAATTTCCGCTGAATTCAAATAATCAATCTGCCCATAATTCCTCTGCTACTCTTGATAATTCCGGCAACTTTGTGTTGACGGAGCTCAATTCAGATGGGTCAGTCAAACAGGTCCTGTGGCAAAGCTTTGATCATCCCACAAACGCCCTATTGCCCGGAATGAAACTGGGCATGAATTTCCGAACAGGGAAAAGTGGGAAATTTCCTCTTGGTTAAGCAATGAAGTTCCAGTTTCTGGAGCTGTTAGTCTGCAATGGAATTACAGCATAGATGGTTCAAATACAGGCCAAATAGTCATGAGACATAGGGGTGAAGACTACTGGACCACCGGACTGTTCAACAGAACCGATCAGACCTTCGAAAACATCCGGTGGTGGAGGAGTACTAATCAATTTGACATCAATATCCACCAATTTACTATTGTTTCCAATGAGAATGAGAGTTACTTGACTTATTCTATCCCAAATGGAACTATTTCCAGGTGGGTTTTGAATTCCGATGATGGGTTCGCCGGCGTCAACGCCGGCGTCGGAACCGACCCCGGTGTTGGGCCAATTGTTCCCTGCAGTGGGTTTGATACCTATCCGGGATGTATAGCACCCAGGCCACCATCTTGTAGGTCTAGGAATGAAATTTTTGTGCCACAAACTATTAGTCTTTCGGGAGGAATTTCATATTCTGATCCAAATTGGAATTTGGGTCTTAGTGATTGTTGGAATCTATGCTTGAAGAACTGTTCCTGTATTGGTTATAGTACCCTCTTTAGTAATAGAACTGGCTGTCAGTATTGGAGCGGTGGGTTGAACATTGTTCAAGGCATTATCGGCTCTTGGACCACCATTTTCGTTTTAAATTCGACTTTGAATGGGACCTCATCGGACAACAGTGGCGGCACATCAATTTCTAGTGAAAATCTCTCTCTCTCTCTCTACGTATATATATGTGTGTGTGTGTGTGTGTGTGTAACTCGACTCAATTGACCTTTATATTAACTATTTTGGGTCGGCTTCTGTATGTATATGTGTGTATGTTATTTTATTACTCAGTGAGTTTTTCTTGTCCTAATCGTTCTCTTTGATCATCTCAATTTAGGCGATTACTGGTGGGTATGGATGATTGTTGCATTCGTGGCTGTGATAGTTATGCTTCTCTTGGCATTCTTCTGCTATATGAGGAGGAAAAAGCTTCAAGGTCATATGCTTATCTTTGAAAGATGCATGAAATATGATGCATTTACTATTTATACTTCTGTTTTTGGAGATGATTTTGTCGTTGTTTTCATGTCGTTAGTAAGTGTAACCTTGTAATTTTCACACAACAGAGGATAAAGAAAGGCACAAAGAAGAGATATTACTAGAATTAGAGAGATTTGATCCAAAAGAGATTGGAAATGCTGGGAAGTATGAAGTGAAAATATTCAGCTTTGCTTCTATTTTGGCTGCCACAGAGAATTTTTCAAACGAAAACAAACTCGGACAGGGTGGTTTTGGTCCTGTTTATAAGGTAAATTTTGATAAGTATTCCGAAAATGAAACAAATTTGATCGATGGCTAAAATTTGAAGCTTACCCGCGAATAATTCTTGCAGGGACTATTGCCTGAGGGGCAAGAAATAGCAGTGAAGAGATTATTGAGGGGATCGGGGCAAGGGTTAGTTGAGTTCAAGAATGAGATTATACTGATTGCCAAACTCCAACACATGAATTTGGTAAGGCTTTTGGGTTGCTGCATTTACAAAGAAGAAAACATGTTGATATATGAGTACATGCCTAACAAAAGCTTGGACTCCTTCCTTTTTGGTTAGTTAACATATCAACTTTAAATTTTCTGTTTGTTTCTCAGTAAATTGTTGGTGAAGAATTGCTTAATGAGGTGTGATGTTTTGTTAAAATTTGCAGATCCATTTAAAAAGAAAATATTGGACTGGAAGAAACGTCATGTTATCATTGAGGGGATAGCTCAAGGGCTCCTTTACTTGCATAGATATTCAAGGCTAAGGATTATTCATAGAGACTTAAAACCAAGTAACATTTTACTTGATGATGAAATGAAACCGAAAATTTCAGACTTCGGCATGGCTAGAATTTTTGGGCGAAATGAATCTCAAGCAAACACCGAGCGAATTGTTGGTACATAGTAAGTTGGCATTATTTTGTAACTTTCTTTTTGACCTTTTTTTATCTTTCTTGGGGACTAATTTTTTTGGGGGTAAATGAAAAATAATAGTGACTAATTTTTTGCTAAATGTTGAATACAGTGGTTACATGTCGCCAGAGTATGCTATGGAGGGCATTTTCTCAGAGAAATCAGATGTTTATAGTTTTGGGGTTTTGATGTTGGAGATTGTGAGTGGGAGAAGAAATGGTAGCATTTTGCATGATGATCATTCTACAAATCTAGTTGGATATGTAAGTAACTCATTTCTGCTTCAAAAAAAATAAAAGGAGGAAACTAAACTCCAATTAGGAATTAAAGTTGAGTCTCATTAATCTCAAAGTGGTTTTCATTCCCTTGCCATTAAAAATAGATTGGATCCCTAAATAGATATTTAGGCTAAAACCAAATAACTTGAGTTTCTAATTGTCTCAAATTAATCATTAAACTATATAAACGTAGGAATCAACTCATTAACTCCAATTTTATGTTAAAGCAAATAAGAAAAACCTATAAAATGTATTTCAATTTTTCCTTGGAATCTCTCTTCTTCTTCTTCTGTTTTGCTTTGTTTTCCATTTCTTTCATTGCGGAATTGGATAGAAGGGCTACTAGATAAATTAAGGGCTACATTGGCATAACTGAAAAGTTGAGGTGGTATTTTAAAACCAAAAACATACTTGGATAGTCATTTATGATTTTATCTTGAATACTTATCTGTCTATAACATTCTCTTTAAGAATGACAATGTGACACCGAAACTATTTTTCAGTATCATACTTGTATGTCTATAAAATCTCTTTATTAGATTGCTTAACTATATAATTTTTATAATTAATGACTACAAATAACTCACCCCTATAAACTAATTTATCGTACCGAGAAATAACTTTTTAATGTTATAGTACTATCTACAGGTTCCTTGGATTTATATGTTTGCAATTCTGGTTTTCAGGCTTGGGAGTTGTGGCAAGAAGGCACTGTCTTGAAGCTGGTGGATCCAACACTAGGCGATTCGTGTTCTATTCCCCAAGTGTTCAGGTGCATTCATGTGGGTCTTTTGTGTGTGCAAGAGAGTGCAATGGTTAGACCAACAATGTCAGATGTTATTTCTATGCTGGCTAACGAAACCATGCTCCTTCCAGCCCCAGAGGTTCCTTCAAATTCCACCCAGAGAAGCACCGTACAGAGTTGCTCCACCTATATATCTATGACGGAGGTCGATGCCCGTTAGAGGGTCCAACTTTGACAAAAACATCCTTAAAAAAAAGGGGAGAAAAAAAAAAGTGGATCAGTACAGGAGACTCTCACCTCTAAGAGATCTTTGAGGATCAAATGTATGCACCAAGTGCAGTATGGTGAGGCTAAATATTTCTCACTTTATTGTTTATGTATGGTATTAACAGCATTATGCAGATTTTATTTTCCGTTGGGAAAATATTGCATATACCGAACAAAAAAGATTTCTTTAAAAGTTTACAAGAGAAGTACATTCCGATATGATTTATGTGTGAAAGTAATCATTCTTTATAATTCGATACGTCATGATGGGTCATAATTCGATACGTCATAATGGGTCCACATCTCTGGCGTTAAATATTCAATTTAGGAAAACACTTCATTCTATTAGTTTGTTAAAACATATTTTTAAGATTTTTTTTTTGAGATTGTTCTAACCTCTCTGATGTTTCGTTGTTTGAATTTACGTGTCATGTTCCGTCAATAAGATTGGGTTATAGGTTGGATGATAGGCATCACAGACCAAGAATAATATTTTAATCACCGGCCATAAGAGTGTAAACAATAAAATTCCAAATAATGTTTTTTCAATGCATTCGGTTCGATTAGAGAATGTATTATATTCCCAATAAATATCGTTATGGATAATTATAGTGACACCCCTCTAGGTTTGCACTGATTCGAAGAATACCTTCATAGTTTTGAAAATTAGACTTAATACCCTTTAGTTTGAATATGAATTTCAAGTGTACCTACGGGACCATTCAAGATGATGACGTCAACGATGATGAGAGAAAATTTTCTACCAATTTTGACTTTATTCTGTAAACAATAAAAGGAAAGGAAATAACCCCAACCCATCAATTTTGACCCAAACACCTGAACTACCCTTGCCTTCTCCCAACCCTAGTTGGCCTTTAGCATAGAGGACTGTGTCCTCTAACCAAAATCTTCTAGCGACTCTCTCTCTCTCACTCGCTTTAGAAGACGAGAGGTTGACAGACTAGAGAAGATAAGGGCAAGTAACAACATAAAGTGCTTCGACGTGCTCGCTAGAGATATAAAGATTGATGTGTGTTGAGACAACTGCCTGCGGATTCCTTAATCCACAATGGCTCTTGGCAATTGAGAGGAATACGCTTTCTCGAAATAAAGTTATTCGTACAATCTCTTAGAATGTAACTTCCACCATTTTTCCTACTTTTCTTAAGTTTTGATTTTTAAACTCGATTGTACGTAGCAAACCGATCCCAAAAATTAGTAAGGAATGAATTTTTCTCCAACTTGACTCAAGAAGAAAACTTTTTTGTGCTCTTTCCACTAAACCTAAATCCCATGGTATCCAATCTAAAATTCATTATGCACGGGATAATTCCTGCAATAATATGAGGTAGCGATCTCCAAGCTGACAAACCTGAAACAACAGAGTTAGAAAAAAGGAGGCCAGACGAATGCCCAATTAATCTCCTCCGAAGTTTAAGTCAGTATAAGGTCGAAGGGTTTGCTCAATGAACTATTTTTCTGGTTCAAGTTTGCGTATCTTTGTCCATTTTTCTAAGGAGTATTTATACCTGAATTAGCAATGATTGTCAAAGATCTCCAATCTCATCTAAACATCTTACTTCTGACACATCATTCCTTGTGCAATGAGTGTTTTCTATTCACGTCTCCTCCTATTGAATGCTAGAAAAATAAGGTAAATGTTCGGCCAAATGCCGAGCATTTATGCCACTCCTTGAGTACCCAAATCCCCCAGATTGGCATCCGACATCAACTGAGTATTGAATATTCGGGGGAACAATTCCTCGGGATAGTCGATCGCGTTGTCTCGGCGCATCAGCCATTAATGCTTAGCCATCATGACAGTAGGTTTAGACTCCCAGAGGGCAGGTGCTGGCAGACACGCATTTATTTGTCTTTTCACTATCACTCATTCCGCCATAAATGAGGGGTCAAATCTCATTAAATACGATGTCAGCTGTCGTACTCGGCTGCTCCGTGTCATCATACCTCGGCTTACCTCCTCGGCACCTTTGGATATCCCAACGGTTTTATTATTTCACGTGTCAATCTGAGGCTGTAGAGCTACCTAGAGTCCCGCCAACTGCCCCCCAGCCCCCATTCTTTTCGCAATGTAAGACAAGTGGCATAAAGAGATTGGAGGTTCCATCATCACGCCTTATTAATAACGACGGTTACTTGCACATTCGGTGTCGCCCTTTTCAAATGCCCTAATGATGACCCAACTTTTGATTCCCGCTCCCTGTGAGGCAGTATAAATAGGAGGTTTTCATACCTTCTCAAAACTTTTGCATCCTCAACCTTTCCTCAGCAGTCAGACCTCGAGTGCTCCTTTGTTCTCCTCCGAGTTTCCTTCGTCCTCCGAGCTCTCTCTTTGAAGACCACCTTCCTATAAGTATTTTCACTTGAGCTTTCATTTCCTCTACATTTCGTCTTTTTAGCGCCCACCAATGGCTAGATCGAGTAGAACCAGGGGGGAGACGTCTGTTAGGGCTAGGATTACCCACAAGATGAGGAGAACCCAAGTGACTGATGAGAATATCCAATCTTTTAGGGTTAGGTACCACATCCGTGAGCCTGTCTTTGCTTTTCCCTTCAACCCCACTCACCATAGGAGGGATATGAAAAATGTGGACATGATGCCTTTCTAGATGAAGGTCATAATGGAGGGAGGATTGACCTTCCCCCTCCATCCCCTGTTGCTGGGAGTTTTGATGCAACTGAAGCTCTTTCCCTTTTAATGTAGGGTTAACTTCTTTAGGATTGTTGATGGGGCGTAGTCGCCTTAAACGCTCGGCTGGGGACCAACTTAGGAGTAGATGAAAATTTTTTTCTGCTACGACTGAGGCTAGTTGCCGGGGAGCGATATTACCTCCAGGCTCGAGACGCCTCAATGTATCTGGTAATCCACATGCCTGACTCGGACAAAGGGTATGTAGACGATCTGATCATGCTCGGCGAAAGTTGGGAGAAAGGGACCAAGCCCAAATATGACGGATTGTACTGCCTCAAAGTACCGAGGGATGAAGGTGTATTTTCTTTCTGACTCCTTGATTTTGCTATTCTTGGGTCCGAGGGATGCACTAATTT